GGGGGGGGTTAATAATCGTGGGAAGCGATTAAACTACCGCTACTGAAAATAAGCTCTGAAGCTTCCAGGATGCACCCGTTTCATCATCTTCAGCTCAAAGTCTGTACAGCCCAGGTCCGGAATCGATGCCGGTATGCTGAGTAACGGCTGTATATACAAGCAATGTATGAACAAAGACGCCTAAACTGATCTTAAGCAGCCTGAACCAGCAAAAGTCTGAAGCAAACATCTGTTGAGCATGGTGTGCTCTGCCCGAGGCAAAAACCAAAGCAGCCTGTTGCTGATGCTGTGCGACGGCCGCAGCCTTCTTATGACAGAAACGACCAACGATGCCCCAGTGGATAACTTCGTGCTTTTCACGCTTGTTTCAATGACTGGTGCTCCAACCTGCACGTCTGCACGCTGTTACACTATGTGGTGTCGCTTCTGCCGATGCCTGCTGTTGATACGGTCCTCTGTTCCATAAGTTGGCCGGTCCTGACCGTAAGAATGACAAGATTGCTGCCTCATCAGATGCACATGTTGACCATTCAAGTAGCTTAGCTCGTGCTGTCTTTGGCACATATGGGACTGCTCTCCGTCCTGATGTGTATCTACTAAATGTAGATGGGTAATTAAATAAGTTTGTATGCATCTACCAATTCGCCAATCTACCTACCTATCTGCGAGCGAGAGAGCAAGGACGAGAGAGAAAGAGCGAGAGAGAGGGAGAGAGAGACAGAGAGCGAGAGCGACAAAGCAAGTGATTCAATAACAAACGCAACCCATCCCTAAACCCTAAACCCTAAACCCTAAACCCATGTACATATGTGTACGACTCACGTCCACGCATGCCGACTCTGGGTTCATGGATGGATGGATGGATCGAGATATGGATGGAGTACATGGCAAAAGATGCCTGGCTACATCCATACACCCTACACGCCATGGCATGTCGTTCTGCTCCATGGTCAGAAATCGGGAGCACTACGAAATGAGTTGCAACGACTAGCAGTTTGCTTTCACGCGACAGGATGCTTCTCCCGACATCAATGCATCAGGATCTACTCATTCTTGAACCCACACCAACTGGCTTAAGATAGGAGATGATGAGACCTGATGCGATGAGCTGAAGCAAGTGCAATGTATCCAACACTGAACATCTTGTCAACACAGGCTCGCAAAAGCCAGGTCTTCTGTCCGAAGGGCTCAACATCGAAGGACTGGCTCGAAGCTTCGCAGCTCAAACTTAGCTACATTGTATGATCTGATCTTACATTGTATCATCTCATAGTATGTTATGTTATAGTATAGTAAAAGTGTAGTAGACTCCCACCGCGCCTGCGCCTGTGCAACCTGTGCAGCCTGCGCCTGGGCTGCCGCTTGCGCCTTGCCATGACAAAGTCTGGGAACTACAATATAATATAGTAGTCTAGCATACAGTACTATGGTATATAGTAATGGTGATATAGTATATATATATACACAGTATATAGTATATTGTATATAGTTTTTAGTATATAGTATATAGTGTTATAGTACATAATGAATACTATCTAGGCTTCCTGGTAAGAACCATGGCGAGGATCCGAGTTGATCAGAGGGTTTTCTCCATCGAACCCCCAGAAGCTAGCAGCAAGATGAGATCCGTCGGCATCTGAGTCTCACTGCTCGGGTTTTAGGGCTGGGCGTGAATCTTCGAATCTCCCACGACGCTTGAAAACGCGCTGAAGCTTACAACTTGGACTGCATCGACCAAACTCACAAGCCAGCCGCAAGGGTACCAAGACCAAGCCTGTTGCATGCGTATGAGCTCATAGTAGTTGTAGCCGCTCGCAGCCATAGTAGGATCTGGCCATTCCACGCAGGTTCAATGCGTGCAGAGTTTGATTGAGATCATAAGAGTGCGGAGAGTGAATAAGGCCCTGGTCTGGGGTGAATGGGTACTCTCCAGAAGTATGAGACTGGAAACGCATCACTGCTGGTTTGTGCAAATCTGAACAGCATTGAATAGCAGTGAACATAGTGGTCTCGCTTATGAGGCGATGACAGGATCTTAGGGTACTTATCTGACTGCATAAGCACTCATGCCGCAGGGATGATGCCTCCTCTCGAATTGCCAAACTCTGATACTCTAGCTCGGGGATGACCAGGGGCCCTAATTTGCTGCATTTTCTGCAGGTGGCCACGACTTGTCGATTGAAGATAGAACGACGCATTGAACACACGTATGACTGATGCAAAGAAACTGTGGGAAATCACAGAATGCTATCAAAGCGCGTATTGAACAAAGCATGTTTCGTTGACTGAGGAGGCATTGTTTTTTGTTGCAATCTTGGTTGTCTACAAGCGATATTCAGCAGTATATGCTTTTGTTAGAAATGAGGCTTGGATAAGATGCAGGAGCACCACTTATTGCTGACAAATCTATTTTGGATGTGCGGAAATGTACGAGAATCGATCTGCTGACAGCACTGTGGCAGTGTAGACTTCGATGCGAAGCAACATGAGAAACGTCACTTGTTGCCATGGTCGGGTGTTCACCTATGCTGCGACAGTAATCACAGTAGCGATCAGACTACTAATACTTAAGATTAACAGTGATAGTGATAGTGCCTTTTCCTTGCTTCTTCAGGCCGAGTTCTTTCGTTTTGGAGTTTATTTCAGAGCTCAGGGAGCCAACATTTAATTTCGATCCAATCCAAACGTCAAATGGTTAATCTCCATGGCAGAAGTTGTCAGAGTTTAGGGGGTTTCGGCATTCCAAACAGGATTGAACCTCATGCGACTTTTTGTGTAAAATTTTAGCCTGGAGGACACTTACTGGTGCGATGGGGGAGGATCCATTGGAATGAGCTTTGACTTCAGCAAAGGCAGTACTTCCCTCGTGCTTTTGAGCGACATCAAAAGACATCCCAGTGCCATCCGTTTTTACAACTAGCATGGTTAAGAACATGAAATCTTCGATCGCAAGCCTCGTCCAAAGCATGTCATCTGAATTGACAGGATCAAGCAATCAGCTTGCAACTAAAAGGGGGTCGCTTCGAGAAATGCCGAGTATACGGGCGCGAGTTCAGAACAACCAGTTTTGCCAATGTATGAATTTCTAGCTCTTTGAAAACACTAGGGTCCTGAGGCCTTAAGACGTGAGCTCACGGCACCTGCCAGAAGCTGCATCTGCCGTTGCCGAGCTGCCTGCTGGTGAGAGGCAGGGACACGACAGGACGCAGAGTTGGATCCCGAACACCTAAGCTATAGTAGAGTACATTCTGCTATAGTAGGTTGTATCATAGCATAGTATAGTATAGTAGAGTAAAGTATAGTATAATGTACTATGCTATAATATAGTCTATCATACTATAGTACAATAATAAGCCCGAAGCCTCAACTGGCTCAGCATCAGGCCTCTGTGGGGGAGTGCCCTCCCTCGAGGCATTACTGACGAGGCTGTCACCCGATCAAGAGGGTTAGGGTTTAAGGTTTAGGGTTTCGGGTTTTGGGTTTAGGGTTTAGGGGATCAAGAGTGGAGGGCCCTCGTCTCACTCGAGTTGCTCAGGTGCCAAAGGGTCCAAGGCATAACTTGGCCCACGATAAGAAGGTGACAGAACGGATGAAAGAGTGGAACGCTTACTAGGAAGTATGCTTACGACGAATGTTCTGCAATGCTGCAAGAACCCTCCGATTATTAGTCGTAGTCCGTTTTGAAGTCCGTCTAGATCTGGCACACCGGGCAGAGTGTAATGTGGAATGACATCTGCATTCCTGTAGCAGAGAGCATGACTCCACCACACTACAAACACCCTAAACCCTAAACCCCTAAACCCTATAAGCCCTAAACCCTAAACGATAAACCCCTAAACCCCTAAACCCTACACCCTAATCCCCTAAACCCAAAAACTCATTCTCTCCTTCATCCTGCCTCTGCCTGCTGTTGTAGCCGAAGCTGCTGGGCCTGCACGCTCTACGGCATTCGCTCTACGATGTACCCATAGGCCCCTAAGTAGCTCCTTTTGGGATTACCTTATAGGATTCTCAACATAATCTCAAAAAGGAACTTGGGTTTAGGGTTTAAACCCATAGGCCCCTACCGTAGTTCCTTTTTATGGTATATATGTAAAATCCTGTAAGGTAATCCCAAAAAGGAACTGCTCAGGGGCCTATGGGTAGTTGTTATACTGTACTGGCATGATGCTCTGGAACGAAGCTATGTGACAAATACTGAACGGAAACCCTAAACCCTAAACCCCAAAACCCTAAAACCCTAAAACCCTAAACCCTAAAACCCTAAAACCCTAAACCGTCAGTAAACCCAAACGCCCTACCGCCCTAAGCCCAAACAGTCGCCTAACCTCCGAAGGTCTGAAGCCGTTAATCCCAAAATCTGAGGGGTTAGGGTTTAGGGTTTAGGGTTTAGGGCCGAAACCTGAAACTTCGCTTATGAACCCTGCCCATCGGCCCCTAAGTAGTTCCTTTTTGGGATTACCTTATAGGATTCTAAACCATAAACCAGAAAAAAGGAACCACTTAGGGGCCCATGAGTAAACCCTAAACCCTAAACTCTCAACCCTCGACCCTAAGCCCTAAACCCTCAACC